GTTCCAGGGAGGAAGACAGCCTTTACTGGGGAGCATGACATAGAGGTCACCATTTTCTTCCCTGCTCCAGGAGTGTGTGGCAGTGCCCAGCGCGCAGCAGATGTGTAGCAAGCATCAGCCGCCGTCGCCACTGTTACTTCACCTGTGCCAAGCAGCGAGCGAGCCTTCCCGTTTGCCATTGTCTGTCTGCAGATTTCTTCCAAGAGACAGATGGGTGGGTGGGTGGAAGGAAGACATGACGTCCTGCCCTTGATTCAGGTGTTTGCTCAGATACCAACCCATCAGCAAATGGTCCCGTTACCCGATGCAGCACAACATCTGCACATCATGGCTGCAGCATCCTCACCGTCACCCACTCTGGCCTACTGTACATGCCTGTTTGTCACACAGTAGGTGCTTCAAGCACGTATTTTGAATTAATAAATGAGCCAAACTGTGGAACTGTGTTTTATGGAAGACCTGTGACAGCATCTTAAGGACACTATACTGGAGCCGTCGTTCTCAGCCATCCTAATGCTGCAGCTTTTAATACAGTCCCTCATGTTGTGGTGACCCCCAACCATTAAGTTATTTTCGTTGCTACTTAACATAATGTAAATATCTGATGTTCGAGCCCTGTGAAAGGATCATTCAAACCCCTCTCCCCAAAAGGGGTCTCAGCCCACAGGCTGTGAACCACTACTCTAGATTAATAATTTTAATCACATATTATAGCTTACCGTGTAGCCTATATTTCTGTACTTAAAGTTGTCAGTCAGCTGTGTCTTCCCTTGACCTGCCATGTCCTTGCTCACCCATGTGTGCGCGCTGACTGGCGGGAGCCTCTGCTTTTCAGCGAGTGGTAAACACACAGTCTGAGTGCTCAGTGTGTGACCTAAGCTTTACCAATGGGAAACAGTTAAGGGAGGAGTCTCACAGTCCACTTTCCAAAACAATTTCCTTTATTTTTGGTAGATAATAAAGTGACCATAGTAGCCGCTGGTGGATTCTTTCTTAGCCGTGTCTGCCTTTCACGATCCCGACAGAGATCATCTTCTTACATTTTAGGGAGGTAGTCCCAGAAAGAGAATCCTTTTTTGCTTCTATCCAAACTGAAACTGTATTATGTGGGGAAAAATTCAAGCCTGAGCTGGGCAGTGCTGGCACATTCCTTTAATCCCAGCACTTGGGCAGAGGCAGGTGGATTTCAGAGTTCCTTAGTTCTGCAGAGTGAGTTCCAGAACAGCCAAGGCTACACAGAGAAACCCTTGTCTCGAAAACCCAAAAGGGAAAAAAATAATCAAGGCTGAAGATTGTGTATGTATACCCTCCCCCCCCCCAAAGTATATTCTTTAAAGTCTCTTTGGAAAAAGAGCTGGGGTCTAATCACTGCCAGCACAGTCTTTCTTCACTGCCTGGTTTGTCCATGAACTATGGGGCAAAAAGGGATTGCTCTGAGGTAGGAATACGTCGTACCTTGGTGTAGAACTCAGAACAAGTGGCCAGAAGTCTATTCGACTTCTGCAATCCAAATTAGTATAAATTAGGTCTAGTTACTGTTTCCCAGGACAGTCCCATCTACGATTAAGTGTTACACTAGGTGTCAGTTAGAGGTAGATTTTGGCTTGGCTTGTGTTTGCCTTTTTAGTGGAACTTTTAAACCAGCATTACTGCTGTCTTGGCACACTGAAGGCTTAATCCCGTCCCTGTTTAGAGGGTTTGCACCCCCAAAGTATCACATGCAGCCATGGAGCAATGCTACTTTTTCTGCCCTGGGCTACTAGGAAATCTGTTGCAGTAATCTTTGTCCAGACTTTTGTACTGTGTCCGAACCGTAAAATAAAAGTGGTGCCTAAATGAAAATTTTCATGTATTTTAATAAAGCTCTGGAAACATCCTAAACTTCAGAAGATTTTCCCCACCTAGTTTAACTTTTAAATTCCAGAAAGTAGGTCAGTAGAAATATCCTGTTAATTGGTTCAATTAAAAATGTAAAAGCATAGGACTGTCTCAATATGAATTGCAGATTTAAATATGAGGAATTATAATGGGATTAATATCACTGTAGGGTTTGATTTAAATAAGATATATTTAATCATAGCTTATAATTTATGTAGTAAAGACAGGCCTAAATGTTGAAGTATCTCAATAGATAGGGAAACGTTTGCTGTGGAATTTAGCAGTATGATAAAGAATCACTCCAGAACTGCGCTCTCAAGTGATCCGCCTAAGGCTGTCGTTCTCCAGGACCTTAGTCATCAGGGAGAAAAGTGTTCTGAGCTCAGTGAGTATGTGAAATGTCAGATTTAAGGGATGTGCCTTGACAACTTCCTCAAAGTTTTTAATACTTTCTGAATTTTTGTCTGTTTGTTTGTTTGTTTGTTTGTTTGTTTGTTTGTTTCAATTCAGGGTTCCTCTGTGTTGCCCTGGCTGTCCTGGAAATTGCTCCGTAGGCTGGTATCAATCTCAGAGATTATCCTGCCTCTACTTCTTGAGTGCCAGGACTAAAGGCGTGCACCGCCACTACCACCGTGCTTGCTTTCTGAATTTTTAAGAAAGAATATAAGGGGAGGGGGTGTCTCTCGGTCTCCAAATTTAACTAATTTTGGAATTTTATTAGTTTCGGGTTTTTGAGACAAGGTCTCCCTGTGTAACCCTGGCTAGTCCGGCCCCTACTTGCAGCCATCCTCCTCCTTCTGAGGGCGAGGGTTGAAAGTATGCATCACCACATCTGGCTTATGTTTGGCTCTGTGAGATAGGATTTGCTTTATCTAGAACTGAACTGGATTGTACAGTAGCCCAAGATAGCCTTGACCTTGAAATCCTCCTGCTTCAGTGTATCAGCAATGTACATGGCTTCCTTTTAGGAGTGAATACATTTGGAAATGCTGAGAATATTTTCAGCAGTAGCAATGAGGGGTCATTTTCTGGCGTCAGTCATTTCTTAGGATGTTTGTCCAGCGTATGCCCTGAGAGTGGGGTAGAATGGAGCACCATGCTAGGTTCTTCTCCTCAGCGAAGTGGAGTTCTCCACATTTGCCGACAGTTGTCATGAGTAGCCTGGACTCTGCAATGTCTCTAACCCGAGGTGTGATTCACATGTAGCCAACATTACCCTTGCAGCTGGTACTTGGGCATGGTTGACCAAGAAGAGTACGCTTTCTAGCTCAATGAATGACTGCATTTGAGGTGCAGTTCCTAGAACTCGGGGAGTTAGCGTCCACTCTAAAGAGGACAACAGCCCTGGCCTCCAGGGGGGTGCTGGGGACCAAGGGGAAGTGGTGGCCCTTTTCCTTTAAGGAAGACGGAATGGCTGAGTGATGGATGGTCCCCTTCCTAAGAAGGAAGTACTACATACAAGATTACCATTTAATTTTAGTTTTGAATAATTCTCTTAGAGATTGTATTTAAGTTTAAATCAGTAGATTCTGTTTGCCGCTGGTACCATATTTGAATAGATTTTCTCTTGCTGAAAACAAATGAGCTTTAGGGAGCTGATAGATCAAGATTCTGCCTTGGAAGTCAGTTCCGTATTCCTAGACTTTCTTGCCTGCAGATACAGCTTCGGGGGAATAATGTAAACACTGATGACGTAAGAGACGGGTAGTCGTCACACCTGCGGTTGAACAATGTCCTGCTAGCGGCACACGAAGCACTTCTCAAGAGGAGGAAGAACTTACCAGTGCTCTAAAATTATTCTGAAGGGTCTCGCCAGTGCCCGGAGACAGAAAGCAAAAATGAAGGATGGAGTTACTGAAGACCAGAGATAAAAGTTTCGTTGCTTACAAGCAAAGTTACATACTTAGAAAACTTAAAACAGAACAAAACTCAATGTTGAGTAAACTGACAAAATAGGAAAGCTTTCCGAAGCCCATGGCTCTTTTACATGCGTGTATGTATGGTTTGATAACATAGACGTGGTGTTGCTGTGTGTTATTTGATCGGTGAGCTAATGAGTTAAATTTTCATCAACCAGTTAGAGAACCAAGAGAAAGCAGGGCATAAAAACTAGGGAGGGTTTAATAACCACAGGGAATGCCATGGAGAAATCAATTACAGTGGCTGCTGCGGCTCCCGTGGGTGGTCCAGCAGCCAGGGCCACCTTTGCAATGAAGGTCACCAGCGATCAAGCACAAATGTAATAGAAACCAAAGACTCATCTGAGTCCCAGTCCCTGGAAGAGAGGCTTCTGTGGATGCTGTTTTTTGTTTTGTTTTGTTTTGTTTTTAATTTTTATTAATTACACTTTATTCACTTTGTATCCCCCCTGCAGCTTCCTCCCTCCTCCCTACCTAATCCTTCCCTTCCCTCCCTTCTCTACACATGCCCCTCCCCAAGTCCACTGATAGGGGAGGTCTTCCTTTTCTTCCTTCTGATCCTAGTCTATTAGGTCTCATCAGGAGTGGCTGCATTGTCTTCCTCTGTGGCCCGGTAAAGCTGCTCCCCCCTCGGGGTGGGGGGGTGATCAAAGAGCAGGCCAATCAGTTCATGTCAGAGACAGTCCCTGTTCCCATTACTATGGAAGCCACTTGGACACTGAACTGCCATGGGCTATATCTGTGTAGGGGTTCTAGGTTATCTCCATGCATGGTCCTTGGTTGGAGTATCAGTTTCAAAAAAGACCCCTGTGCCCAGATTTTTTGGTTCTTTTGCTCTCCTTGTGTAGCTACTGTCCTCTCCAGGTCTTACTATTTCCCACTTGTTTCATAAGATTCCCTGTACTCTGCCCAAAGGTTGTCCATAAAGTCTCAGCTGAAGTTCACTCTAGAACCCCGTCACCTCCCCAGACAGAGACTGGCAATTCTCTGTCAGGATCCATTGCCCTGACTCTATGGTACTTGGTCCATCTGTGAGTGTCCAGGCTCTCACTGTGTTAACTCATGTCTAAGAATGAAGAGTGAAGACAGTTGTCAACAGGCAGTATGTGTCTCCGCCTTTTCATGCACCAAGTGTGGCAGTCTTCTTGGCTTGCAGTGTGCCTTCCGTGTTCACTCTGACCAGACCTTCCCCTCCATTCACAGGTTTCCCCGGGCACTTTCTACAGCTATGAAACCTGCATAGCAGGGCGCCACAATGCTTCTGTTGGCCATATGATGAGGAAGAGAAGTTGGCTTTGGAGTGCTGGGAGCCTGAGCAGTTGCTGAGCACTCAGCACGCCCCGCCTGACCACTGGAGAGCCCACAACACAATGAACAAACTGACCTTCCATAACAACAGAGTCATGCAGGACCGCCGCAGCGTGTGCATTTTCCTTCCCAACGATGAGTCTCTGAGCATCATCATAAATGTGAGTAGGTCCGTCTAGGAATATTCCCATGTGCCAATCCCTTCCAGACCACACCCAAGTTTGGTGGTTCAGGGTGAATCATTACAGAATGAATCAGCGAGAACATGGCAGGCTTACACTCTCTCTATATAGTCACTTGAATTACTTGTTGGGTTTCTCTGTTTCCTTATCTTTCCATGTGTTCAGCCTTGTATCCATTTGGAATTATTTGGAACACCTTCCACATTTCCATTCAGGTCTGGGGCGTGCTTCTAATTCACGGTGCTCAGCCACAGTACCCCCTCAGGTCCCACCATCAGACTCAGTTTTTTTGAATTTCCTTTGCTCTTTTCTGTATTGACAGGGGTCCATTTTGTCATTTCTTACATGGAAGCCTCTCTCTTGGCTGAAACTTAATGTAATGAGATGGGATCTGGAGACCGTGTGTGTGGAGGAAGGGGAAAAAAATCTGAAAGCGGCAGTAAACATTTTTTGAGCATTGGTTTTTGTCTCTAAAGCTGTTTGGCTTCCTGAGTAAAATTTATATTTAAGTCTGTCTGTCTTTCCGATGTACATGAGTTGTCACCCATGTACATAAAGTGGTAGCAGTTGCTAAGTTTCTCATGTGCATCTTGACTGTGGTTTGCTCAATAGTCAGAGTCTGAGCAGTGTCCAGGAAGATGCTGTGGATGGGCTAAGATGTTGCCACTGGCTCTTAAGTCAGAATTAGACACTTGCTAACCTGGACATTGAAGACTGGGATACTGTCTTGTTTTTCCTTTTTCCTTTTAACAGTTAAGTTATAGTTTTCATATTGCAAAGCAGAGAAATCTGTAAGTGTGAAGCTCAGTGCATCTCTGTTAGTATATACTTCCATGTAACTATTCCCAACTTAAGATAGACATTTCCATCTCCTCAGAAAGAGTGTTTGCGACTCTTCCTTGTCAGTAATCCATTGTCCTCAGCAGTGACAACTGTTTTGATCAGAAGGTAGTCTCCCTCAGTTACAAAGGAAGTGATATATGTTCCTCTTGTCTTAAACACTTTTCACTCAATCTTTGTCCTGTGAAGTTGACACAACAGCAATTACACACTTACTGTTGCTGATGGATATTGTGTCATTTGAAATTGCTGACTAATACAAATAAAAGTTCTATGAGCGTTTCTGGGACCTAGACTTAAAACACAGACACACATAGCTCCCTATGTGGTTGTCGGAGTAGATGTGTGACTCATAGAGCACACCAGTGAGGACGCTGGCGGAAACTGCCAGCAGGTGCATGGTAATCAGTTTTGTACCTATCAACCTTTTTTTTTTTTTGGAGACAGGGCTTCACTATGTAGACCAAGCTGGCCCCATACTCAGACATCTGCCCACCTCTGCCTCCCAAGTTCTGGGACTAAAGGCTGGGGCCACCATTATTGTTTTGTTTATTTGGTTGGTTGTTTTTTTTTTTGTTTGTTTTTTGTTTCCAAGATAGGGTTTCTCTGTGTAGCCTTCACTGTCCTGGACTCACCGACCATGTTGGCCAGAGGTCTACCTGCCTCTGCCTCTGCCTCTCTGAATGCTGGGAATACAGGAATGTGCCACTGCGCCCAGCTTCTTACTGCTTTCCCCTCTCCCCCACTTAATTATGCTCGGATGGAACTAAGGAAAACTTGACTTGAATTAGTTTTCTGCTTGTACGCTAGTATAGTTTTACTTTTTTTTTTTTGTTCAATGGAATAGTTCTGCAGAGCATATTTGACATTTAAATAACTTTATCAAGAGTTTAGATTGCAGCAAGGTCCAGCTTATATCAGGCATCTTGGTCTTGTTCAAGCAGCCAACAGTTTGTTGATTTACTCATGTCGCCTCACTCCTCCTCATGTGTATTTTGGGAGTGTCAAGCCTGCCTCTCAGGTGGATTTTACTATCTCCTGGGCAGTTTCCAGTAACAAGCTAGGATCCCGATTAGGGGCCCTGGACGATGGTTTTGGGTGAGGGAGTAGACTATTATTTTTGCAGCACTTGAGTTTTAAAATACGATGAAATCAGAAACTTTTTAGTGTAGGTACCAGCAGCATGGTTGAGAAGAAAGTAAAATCCTTCTGTATCTGTGGACTTATATATATAATGTGTCCTCTGGCAATCCAGGACATACAGCACAAGCGCTGAGAACACTCCTGTCCCTTTTTTCTGTCTTTTTACCCAATAAAGCTGCTGTGTAGACTCATGAGCATGGAGCATGTACAGTGAGGAACAGTTTCTAAAGGAACTCATTGGCACTGGAGTCTAAGCTGAGGGAAATCATTTTGAAAAGCAGACTGAAAGGCTCCAGGCAGGCTCATGGCATATGTTATGGCACCATACCTAGCATTTTAACAATGTTCTTCCTACTGTCAAACTTCACATTTATTTTTCTTTCACTGGTAGAATTAACCAAAAATGGCCTTAATGTGCTGCTGTGGATTCGTTTGCCCGCAACATATGCTGCTCTGCAGATTTCTGCCTTAAAAACTTGAATGTGCACTAGAATTATTGAGGGAGGGCCTTGGTGAATGGTCAGCTCTTCGGGCTTCACCAGTGGAAATGCTGATGCAGGTCTAGGGCAGGACACAGGAATCTTCATTTTGCAAAATTCCTCAACAGGGACCAGAGATTGGATAAAATCCTAAGGCAGACAGGAAAGGCTGAGGCCCAGCCCCACTCTCAAGAGGTCCACTCACTTACTTTACTTTGGAGCCTGAGTCGTTGCCCAAGGCTGTCGGTATCAGGGGGACGTAGACTGCCTTGTCTGCCCAGCGGCTTCCTCTGCAGCCCTGGGCCTGCTTAAGTTGGTTATTATTTTCCCTTGGTTTCCTTATATATGAAGTGGGGCTGTTCTCTTCCTCATGTGGGAACGTGGCAAGGATTTAAAGAAACTCCGTGTGTCTGTCCACAGAGATGTTCAGTAAGTCAGTCTTTATGGAGTAGTGTTTAACTTGTCTAGTTCCCTGTGCTGTTTGCTCCTTTCATTAGGGTGCTCTGCCACTGACGACGGAATGGAGTCTGGAATGCAGACTGTCAGACAGGCAGGCCCAGATTCTTACTCCAGAAAACATAGATCCTCTGCCATGCCCAGGCTCCTCTCCAGCAATCCTTGGGACCTCAGAAAGGATAGGGTTAAGTAGCATGGAGGCTTGCCCACTAGAAAAGCAATCCAGATCTGCCAGGACCCCCTTTTCCCCACAGCAAAGAATGGTGACTTTTTGATGTTTGCAGAGTTGGCTGTAACAAATTAATTGTAACAAAAATGTTGTATCAGTGGCCTTCCCAGCCCCACCCCACCCCCAGCAGTGGGGGTGTACTCACATACACTGTGCTTGAATCAGTACTAATTGGAGATACTTTAAATTAATCTTAATCATCAAGCAAGTATAAATATGGAAGTTTAAAAAAATAAAATTATGGTAAATGTAAGAGGCAGACAGTTTTTAGTTCAGAGCTGGGAGCTTGTACCTCTCATCCCCATGGCAAAGCGAGCAATTTTTTTTTTTTCCAAGAGAATATTTTAAACATCCTTGCACAGTAACAAACCATTGGCAGAGCGAGGATCAAACTACATTCCAATTCCAAGTCCCACACAGAGTATATTAATGCCTACACTGTTGAGGCCGTAGTGCTTTCTAAAGTTCCCTTTGCCCCTGAGGATGAGAGCCACTAAGAAACTTCACAATCAGCCATGGGGCCTTAAAGACTCCAGTCTGCAAATACCCAACTCTGGATCTTGTTTTCCCAGCAGGTTACACTTACAAGCCACATCCTTATTTAATTACAGTTTTTAAACAAGAACACTATACTTACTTGATGATTGTTAAAGAGCTTTAGCAGACGACTCCAGATACTGATTTAAAGTAGCGGAGCAGTAATAATTAGACAGGATGCCTGGAAGAAAGGCACAGCCTTGTTTACTCAAGAGTCACCATGGTTCTTATCTTACAAAAGTTTAGTTTGTAGTTTGGATCTTAGCTGCTTGTTATATTTTATCCTGGCTGCTCCATGTCCAACTAAAATTTAACCACAAGCTAAGGGTTAAAAGGGCCCCCAGAATGCCAGGCACGTGGTGGCAGACACCTGTAATCCCAGCACACAGGGAGACATAGGCAGGCAGATCTCTGTGAGTTCAAGGCCAACCTGGTCTACAAAGTGAATCCAAGATAGCCAAAAGCTACACAAAGAAACTCGGTCTCAGAAACAAAAACCAGGGACCCCAGAACAGTATGATATTTTAAGCCTGAAGTTTATGGAGCTTAGTTCAGTGTAAGAGTTGTCTGTAAATGTGGTACTTTCTCCTCTTCACTGTTTGCTGTTTAAGCTTATTTATAACGGTATGGTTAGGACACGGACTACAAACCCAGTATTTACATTAAATGCTGGAAATAAGTAGGCGTTCACTAGGACGAAAAACAAATACCCCAAGCTATTGGCTTGAATCAAGCTAGCACGAAGGGGGTGGGAGTAGGGATTTCCCAGCAGCCACTGGATCTTCCCATTGGTGAGGTAGCTTGTGTCAATGCATTGTTATTAAATCACTGGATGACAGGGCCGGAGAGATGGCTCGGCAGCCTAGTGCACTGGCTGCTCTTGCAGAGGACCCACATTCAGTTCCCAGTTCCCAGCACCCACGCGAGATTTCACAGTCAGTTTCCAGGGAAGCTAGTGCTCCTCCCTGGCCCTTGTCGGCACAGCACCAGTAAAACACCCCTACACATCAAATCAGATTCTGGCGGATGGTACATTTATAAGCTGGAGCATCCTAGGGCTAACTGAAGTGTCTGGTGGACCACAGTGGAGGTACTCAGGCGCTCCCTGGGGAATCAGATCCTGGCTTAGTCATCAGTAACTACTTGAGGACGTGCTACAGATGCTGCCCCTGACAGGATCTAGAATCACTCAGGCAACCACTCAACTTACTTGTGAGGGATTACCCAGACGAGGTTAATTGACATGGAAAGACACACCCTAAGTGTGTGTGAACACCCCATGGAGTGAATCCCAGATGGAATAGAGTTGAGAAAGTGAGCTGACCTGCAGGCATTCATCTCTCTGCTGACTGGATGCCACAGGAACCTGCCTCAAGCCTCCTGTCCACCCCCTGCCATGCCTTCCCCCAACAATGGAGTGTATCTCCTTGTACTGTAAGCCAGAATGAGCCCCTCCTCCTTAAGTTGCTTCTTGACAAGTATTTTGTCATAGCAACAAGAAGTAACTTATAGCCCACCAAAGCTTCCTTTGTTGCTGGGTGCTAGAAGAACCCAGCAGTTCCCTCTGGCCTTCAGTTGTCTGCTCTTTCCACTGGGATTTTATGTGTTTTCATTTTCTTAATTTTAGTTCTATATGAAAATATGAAAGCACTAACTCAGAGTTAAATAATTTAGTTAAGTAAATTATAGTCACTAAAGTTATAATTATAAGGTTACAATTCAATTATGACTGAAGAAAGGATTAGAAAGCTAATAATGCCTCAGAGAAAGGAAATGCCCATGACATACCCAGGTAACAAAGTTGTGTTGCACATGTTTGAACGTGTGTGTAACGTTTAATGCATAGAACCTTTGATGGTCTGCCTTTGTTACTACTTGCTTACATGTCTTTGAGGAGTTTTATTTTCTACTTCTGTAAAATAAAGAAATTGAGCTGGGTAGTCCCTCGGGTGATTCAGTGAGGCAAACTCTGAAGACTCAGTTTACTCCCTCCTGACATTTTGTAGTCAAGAAAGCATAAAAACTGTATCTGGGGGTGGGGATTTGGCTAAAAGGGTAAAAGTGCTTGCTGTACAAACTTAAGGGCCTGAGTTCGAGCCCCCAGAACCCAGTTAAAAGCCTGGTGTACCAGCACAGGCTTCTGTTACAGTGTTTCTACAGGGACTAACAGCAAAGGACTCTCAAACAAGGTGAAAGGTGAGGGCTGACACCCACAGTTGTCTTCTGACCACCCCCTATACACACATAGAAATGCATGTGTGTATACCCACACACATACACACAAAACAAAAACAAGTGATATCTTCTCAATTCAGAATAGCTCCTCTCCAGAATGTCAAGTTAATAGGTAATACCTTCCTGTCGGTATGATTGAATTATACTGAGACTCAGAAAGGCAAAAATAAGTTAAGCCATAACAGGGATCAATTGAAATGAACTCTGGGCAGTCTGTCACTGCAGCAGATGAGTGCTTCACTTAGACCTTTAAGAAGAAAACTTCCCCTTCAAATGGGATGTCTTAAGCAGACATTTCTATGGGAAGATGCACAGATGTCTGACGGGTATCCAAACAGTGCTTAGCCTCAGTAAGTGTCAAGAAGGCGTCAGTTAAAACACCAGCAAGGCCTTACAAGTGTTAGGATGGCTGCTTGGCTGCTGGACGTGCAGAAGAGAGGAAACCACTGTGCCGGAAGCCTGTGCACTCTCACAACACTGGTAGCCGTGTTTATAGCGGGTGGTAGTGCCCACTGATGACCAAAAAGACACACACACACACACACACACACGGTGGAGTGATGAGCCACGTCAGCAGGGAGAACTTGTCATTTGCAGCAATGTGGGTAAATCTGGAGAGCATTACACTGACGTCATAAGTTAGGCACAGACTGCACAGTCTCACTTGCGTGGAATCAGAAACAGGCTACATCAGAGCAGCAGAGTACAGAGTAGTTACCAGAGCCTGAAGTGTGGACAGGGCAAGGAGTTGCTGGTCAGAGGATCTGAAGCTTCAGCTAACAAGGTGAAAAACTTCAAGAAAACTATGCACCATGGCAACTGGAACTAATAAGGTGCCGGATGCCTAAACCTTGCTGGATGAGAGCAGTGTTCTTACCGCATACAAAAAGAATACGATGTGAGGCAGTGCATTGGTTAATCCAGTTCTGTAGGGCAGCGGCTCTTAACCTGTGGGTCATGACCCCTTGTGGGGGGTGTGTGTGTGTGTAAACAGCCCCCTTCACAGGGGTCACCTAAGACCTTCAGAAAACACAGATGTTTACGTCACAATTCATAGCAGTAGAAAAATTACAGTTACGAAGTAGCAATGAAAATTAATTTCATGGATGGGGGTCTCCACGGCATGAGGTGTATTAAAGGGTCGCAGCATTAGGAAGGCTGAGAAGCACTGCTTTTGTTAGGTCTATCGAATACTATGTGAAAACCTGTCCATTAAAGTAAGAGAGAAATGTTAACAAAAAGAACAGACTTGCCAAATAAATACCTTACGTGGAAAAATCTCTTCTGAAGGGCCCGTTTTCATCACAGGGTCTGAAAACCTGATCCATGTGTCATAAGATTTATGAGTCTTGTGCACTCCATTAACATGCTATAAAAATTGATACTGTGGTGGTCATTAAAACAGCCACCGGTTGCAGTGACTTTCTTAAACCGGGTGGTTTGGCTGACATCAGTGTGTCCTGTAAAGGTGTATATTTACAGAGTTTAAAAAATGCCTGATGTGGCTCACTGTGTAAACTAAATTTACTTAGCTCAAGTGTCTTTTTTTTTTCCTTTCTCCCTCAGGTTAAAATTCTGTGTCACCAGTTGCTGGTCCGGGTGTGTGACCTGCTCAAGCTAAAAGAGTGTCACCTCTTTGGTCTCAGTGTTATACAAAGTAAGTTTCGGTGTAGGCCCTGGTATGTTTAGCCAACTGTCTCTGAGGAATGACACTTTAAAGTCTGAAGCCGTCACGCAATGTGAACTAATTGTCAAAATACCCATTAACTTACCATCATCCTTAGTCCAGTATTTGTTTTCCAATGTCAGCATGACATATATCTTATGTGATTTAATATTTTTATTATTATTACATTTTGAACTTAGTATTGATTATTTTTTTTATGAATTTAGATATTTATGTGTCTGTTCCTTTTGTTTCAATAAACCAGGGTTGATTTTTGTTGTTGTTTCCTTGTACACAAGAGACCAGCCCTACCTCAGAGGAAAGTAGATGTTTTTGTCATTTGTCATTACCATCTATAATACTACAAATGATGATGGCTTGTGACATCACAAAAATTTTGGTCAAAGTAAAACCAACTTTCTTCTGTTCAGATTCTCTTGCAGTTAAAAGTGTAACCGGGATGGAGTTGTTGAATTTTGTTTCTCGTTTCCTTCATGCCCTTCTCTTTTTTTTTTTCCTAGTCAGACTGTATGTCCTCAAAATGCAGTCATTTTCTCCTCCATTGTATCAGGAACTTGTAGGAAAGGGTTTCATAGCCACTTTGCTGTCTTGTGTCCCTTGCTCAGTACTAGACTCTTTAAGACTCACCTGCAGCCATAAGCTATCTTATGTCAAATTGTATCTGGGAATTTCTCTGCTTTAGCTTTTAAATCCCAGAATCTTTTTGGGATCTCTGCTCATCTTTTTCAGGGAGATTTAGGAGTATTTAATTATGCTTTCCACATTCATGTGGATAATCTTTTACTGAATCCAAGGTTTAAATCTAAAGGATTATGGCAGCTTGAGAATCCGGTCAGTGCTGTGAATGTTTCTGTCTGCCACGTTAGAAGATAGATTGTCAACAGATAGAGTGGGCTTCCTCTCCCCCCAAACAGGAACTGTGTCCAATTGCCTGTCTAGGAACATGGGATGGAGAGTGCAGAAGGCCCTGCCAATCAGCCATTTGCTCCTCACTTGGTTCCTGTAGTAAGTAACGAATACAATAAAAACAGGAAGGTTACACTCCCATCACTGGGCTTGTGCAGACCTCCATCCCCCTGCAGGGAAGGGCATAGAAGCAGTCAGGTGCCTCACAGACTCCAAGTGGCTCACTCCGTGCTCTCCTCAGGCTTTCTTCCTGCTGCACCTGCAGCCAGACTGTTGGTCTCCGTGGTTCAACGAGTCAGTCCAAGAAAACCAGTTCATCGCTCCCTTTGGTTTCCAGATGAGAGCTTTTAAGACGCCCTTTAAAGGAGAGTCTGCCGTGTGGTGAAAGAGTTGGAGCAGCAGTCAGGTGACCTGGTTTGAATTCTGGTTCTCCTGCCGGCCAGCAGTGAACCTTCAGACAGGCCACCGACTTCTCCCATTGTCTAGTTGTTTCACTTCAGATAGACACTGCTTCCCACTCCAGTTTTACGGGAGGAACATGTGTTTGAGATTTGCCTCACAAGTCTTGTTAGTGTGGTTTTAGATTCCTAGCACAGGGGCGCAGGAAGTAAGACGGTTCCAGAAAGCCGCACACATGCAGCCACAGCCTCCCCGTCGTCAGCCCCAGCACTGGTGGCACCAACACCCAGAGCCCAGCGTTTGCGCTTGGGCTCGCTGCTGGTGTTTGTATCAGATGTGTGCTGGACAGATGTGTGGCATGTAGCCGGGCTGTGCAGGATGGCTGTACTGCCCCGAGCTACTCACACCGTTTTAGATTGGCGACTGAAATTCTTATTGTCAGTTGAATGGTTGCAAAGAATGTAATTCTCCAGCACTTTGAACATTGACATTTTGAAACTCAGCCATCGGTAGCACTCCTCTTAAAAGCTATCTAAATACCAAGAACCTGGATGTCATCCCAATTCTTTCAGTTTTGTTTTGAAATAATTTCAAAGTTCCAATGGTGAAAGATGACAATAAAAACTTCCTTAGGTGTTAAAGCTGGAGCCTCTTCCTCCATCTTCCATCTGCCTGACTGCTTCCCATCTCCCCGTACTGGAGACAGGCAGTATCTCCTACATGACCGTAATCAGGAAGGCAGTGCTCTAATGCTAACTAGTCTTTAGTTTTGCCAAGGAGCCTAGAAGCATCCACCACGGTCACGGACAGTCTGGTTCAAGTCTGTATGGTTCAGCCATTTCTTCACCCTTCCTTGTGAGCTTGAACAGTCAAGTTACTTTGTGGAATGTCCTTTAATTTGGGTTTGGTTTATGTTTCCTCATGATTAATTTAGGTTATGCATGATTTGGGTGGGGATATCAGGCAAATGCTAATGTGCCCTTCTCAGTGCACAGTATTCTGAGACACACAATAATTATTTATGTCCTTATGGTGATGTTAGCTTTTGGCAAAAGTCTCTCCACATACTTTCCTTGATACTCATGAGCTTATATTAACATTTCTAATTACAGTCTAGTTCCAGGAGATTCATTCTACCCCTTCTTCTCTCAACTATTTATGACGCCTTTCTTCAAGAGTGAGAAGCCGGGCTTATTTGCTCAGGCATTTAGGAGCGTTACAAAGGGTATCACAGAGGTGTACATTCTAGGGCAAGGTATGAGAAGGCAGACACAGCTCTCCTCCTCTTCCTGGGTCTACCAGTCTCCGTGTGTTCTGATACCCAGAGTTCTTAAGCTAGGCAGCTCTGGTCACACTGTCCAGTGTGGCAGACACAGCTCTTCTCCTCTTCCTGGGTCTACCAGTCTCCATGTGTTCTGATACCCAGAGTTCTTAAGCTAGGCAGCTCTGGTCACGCTGTCCAGTGTGGCAGACACATAAGGTAATTGTGAAATGTACATGTGCTCATAAACTCATGGACTGTGGCAGCACATAGGGCCTGCACAGGTCTGAGCCTGAGTTCCAGGCCGACATGGGAGAGTAGTTCCCATCCCTGACCAAGAGGCTGTCTCTGGTTTATAGCCGCTCACAGGTGGAAAACGTGCTTTTCTCCAGTGCAGTCCCACTGGGCATACAGGCCACACCTAAGGGTGGACAGCGTGCCCAGCAGTAGGTGACCGACTCAAACCGAACTCAGTAGAATCTCTCTCAACATTTTGTCTCGTATCGTTTTGTTTGGGCATTTTTTTTTTTTTAATCTTAACTGGTTGTCTGATTGTATATTATTGTTCCTCGTTTTGTGGTTTTATTTGTGTGTGTGTGTGTCTATTTCTTGTGCTTTTTCTTTGTTTTGTACTTGATATTCTGGTTTGTTTTATTTGCATTCTTTTTTTTTTTTCTAAAGAAAGAGAGAAGACATGGAGTTTGGTGGGAGGGAAGGGAAGGAAAAAGAAAGGAAATGGGGAGGGAAAACCACGATCAGACTATATTGTATGAAAAATTTATTTTCAGCAAAAAATAAAATTAAAATATGCATTGCTCCTCTGAGCAGGCTCACTTCTGCTCATGATTTTGCCACTTCTGACAGGAGCTCCCACCGCAGACAGGTCAGAGACCTGTTCAGTCAGTAAGAATGAGAGGTATGGAGACAGCGTTCACTGGCCCAGTAGCTGGGCTAAGCGGCACCTTCCCTTCCTTCATCTTTGGATGTCTTAGCCCTTCTTCATATTAAGAGGACTGACAACCATTTATAAACAGAGTAGCATTGCTTTTCCAATCTTCCAGTCAAGCCCAGTGTCCATCCAGGGTTCTGCTGTGGAACCAGCGTGGTCCCTTCTCTGTGGAAGTTGTTATGGAGCACCCAGAAGTGGATGCCATTAGTGATGGGGGAGAAAATAGCTGGGGTGCGTGCGTGCTTTAATAAAAAAACTTTTTACAAGATCAGAATGCTAAGGGCTTCTCTGGTGAAACAGATCTTTGCTCCCTTACCCCCCAAAAAAATCACTTAAAGAAAAATGAAAAATATATATATATATATGTTTGGGCCAGCTTGCTTTAAATAATGCTCCGATCATTTCATGTTAGTTCCAGCAGACATGTTTTCTATTCACTTTAAGAACACATCACTCCCCTTGAAGTTTGGTGTCAAATCTTGTTTTTCTGCAAGACTTTTCTGATAGGATAGATTCCAAAGGCAGAGGCAATAACGGTTTGTCATCATGGCAAGCTGGTGCCATGGTGTGGGGAACACAGAGAGCAGATGTTTGAAAAGCCAGCTCTTCAGGAAGCAGGTGTCATGCCCACACCTGGAAATGCGCTACCATCAGCGTCCCAGCACCTCACAGGGTGATTGGGACGGAGCTGTTGCTATGTCAGTATTTGCACCAAGGAGAAGCATCTCCTGTACCCTAAACCAAAGTGAGCTTTTCTAAGATGCATGTCCAAGGGAATGAACGCTAGATGGTTTCTAAAGGTCCTGGAAGCCAAGCACATGAGTGAGTTAGAAACCACATCTTGTCTAAGCATTGCATGCTTTAGAATCTTGAGTTCCATCTTGGAGAAGCAAGAGAATTCATGGCCTCAATGTTGTCTGGATCGTGACATTGTGGGTCTTTCCATGTCCTCACACTACATTCACAGATCATGAGGCTGTTTTTGTTTTTTGTTTGTGTTGTTACTTTGACTAGCTTTTTCTTTGAAACAAGACTTTTCTCTTTAGCATCTTATTTTGTTTGTTTGTTTGTTTGTTTTTTTCTATGTGCAGATAATGAACACGTATATATGGAGTTATCACAAAAGCTTTATAAGTATTGTCCAAAGGAATGGAAAAAGGAGGCCAGCAAGGTACGGCAATACGAAGTCACTTGGGTGAGATTACATTTATGCACAAAATTTTCTCTATCCTTTAAAAGATGTGTATTTTTACCTGTCACATTAGAATAAAAATTATAGGCAATAATTTATCAAGTAGAGAATGAAATCAATGAAATGAATTGTAAGTGCTGAAATGTCTTATGGATCAGGTGTGAGTAGCTGACAGCATAATCGGTGGGTAATAATGTTTCAGTAATCTCGGGGTAGCGCTTTGAAGTGAAAAGCATGAGGGGGTCTGTTTTTCTCCTGAGACGGTGTTGTCAAAACTTGTGGGGGGTTTTAGTAATTTTCAAATTTGATGTTCTATCGTCCTTGCAGTCACACCTTTGTTGATTTGCCGTGCTGGCATCTTCACGTAGTAAACATCACTTCCATTTGAGGTGGGGGAGCAAGCAC